AAGAGAGGGCAACTGAACCAACTTCTTTGATCGGATATAAGACCTTGTAGTCTTCAAAATCTAAAGTCTTTTGCCATAGGTAGGCTATATTTTAGCCCCTAGGACATAGAACCAGTGGATGAAATTAAAACACCTCTAATTATAAAAACATGTGTAGTGAGAAGCTAGAACAAGGTATTTTCTGATTTTCAAAGGCATGTAAAATAATCCAGCGTTATATCCATGACTCAGAAATTAATATTCTTCAATTTTTTTTTTACTTTCTCTAAAACATATTTCTGAGTCTGAAAGCCACCTTTTTATTATTTTATGGTATACAGGTATAAGAAAGGCCTTGGACGTAGGGAAAGGACACATTTATTCCTGACTGTGACACTAGCCAGCATTTTCTGTCATAAAGTCTCAGTTTTCTCACCTTTTAAATGAAGGAATTTAAGTAGATTTTCTCTGAGCCACATTCCTGTGTGAAAACTGTCATGCTGAAGATGATTGTAATAAAAAGATGAAAATACAGAAATTCAGAAACATACTGAAAATGATACTGAGAAGAGATGATAAGATTTTACAAGGCAGGCCCAGGACACTTTTCTTTCTTTTTTCTCTTTAGTACTGGGGGTCAAATTCAAGACTGTGAGCTTGCAAAGCAGGCGCTTATGCCGTGAGCCAAATCTCCAGCCCCAAGAACACTTTTCTGAGCACCATTTGTAAGCAAAAGGACCAACTGCACGACATGCATGTCTCTGCTCTACTCTCTGTGCCCTCTCCTGTTTTCCCACTATTCAGTGCTGCCACACAGGGCCCGCAGATGAGCCTTCCTAGTAATCAGGGAACTAAAACTGTCCTGCAGTTCCTGTGGAGAGCAAAGTCATAAATGACATGTGGCAGAAAAACTGCTCCACTCTCACTGTCCTTTGTTACCTCTATCCTTCCAGTTTTTAAATTAGCTTTAGGAGCAAAACATATTGGACCTAAGCCTAGGTCATCCAAAGAAACACGTGGTGAGCCCACTGAGCATTCGTCTTTACACAAAGCTTAGCTCCTTGGTCTTGTGTGCAGCCCCAAGAGGTCAGGACTGCACTTATTTCTCCATGTTTTCTTTCTTTGTTTCTTTGGGTACCAGGGATGGAACTCAGTCTCACGCTTGCCAGGCAGGCACTGTGCCAACTGAGCTGTATCCCTGGTCTGATTTCTCCTTTCTTTAAATGAAGGAAAAAAACACAAGTGAGACAGGAATCACACTCAGGCTCTGAATTCTGCACCCCCGCTTTTTGTTGTATCCCACTGAAGGACCAAGAGTTACTCAGTGGTAGTAAGTCTCTTTTAGAAGACGTATCCTCAAAAAACTGTTACATAATGTAAGATTTATATGTTTACCTCTGGTATATAGAGAAAAATAAACCTGGCAGGCAACTAACTCTAGTGTTTTAACTTTAATGGCTTGAAATCAAATTTTTCTGGTTTTATTGTTTATCGAACCTCAAAGGGGTAAATGTGTAGGGAAAAAAAACCTTAGAAAGCATGACATACATATATAGACAAAGTCCTTAATTCTAGTTTTCTATAATTAAAGAGTTGGATTATAATTAAAGAGTTAATTTTCTGCAGAAATTATGACCTGGAAGCAAGTTCTCAGACTTTGTAAAGACTTGAAGAAGATTCTTTCCTTAAATCACAAATGCACCAGCATCTCTGACAGTCATAAAACAGGATGTAGAGCCAGGACAACAGAAGGACCCATTTGACAGGCACTAAGCAAACATGTCCATTTAAACCTTTTTGGGGATGCACATATTTTACTTGGACAATCCTGAAAACTTGTCTTTCATTCTCCTCCCTGTTTGCCTCCTTGGGTCCCCCACCCCGGCTTCTTCCCTTATCTTTTTGGCCAATTATTTCTACCCCTCCTTGTTAAGGACCGAATGTGTGTGCCTGTATAATTTCCATTGAAATCTTAACTCCTGATGTGGTGGTAATAAAAGGTGAAGCTTTTGGAAGAGAGTTAGGTCATGAGGGCACAGGCCTTGTAAATGGGCTTAGTGACTTTATGGATGGATCTCATCTCTTGTTCTCTTTCCATCCTAGAAAAGGAACCTTGCTAAAACCTGATCATGTCAGCACACTGACCTCACACATTCAGCCTGTAGCACTATAAGAAATAAATATATGTGGCTTATGAATTTATGAAGACCAGTCTATGGTACTTTGTAAAGCAGTCTAAACTGACCCCCTAGTTCCACATATGTAGAGTGGGCCATAGAAACAAATCAGTAAGATAAAACAGAAAAGCCACATTGACTATTCTCTGTAACACACCATGCAAAAACTACACACTGGTTAACTCATTCAACCTGGCAACAACTGTACAAGGTTGGGGAAACTGAGGTAAACAAAGGGGAGGGAACTTGTCCAGGGCCACAGAGCCCTAAATTTGAGTTGTAGACAGATACAGTACCTCCAATGTACAAGTTTTGGTGCACATGTGAGCGGCACTCTGTGAAACTCTTCAGGGGCCGAGAGCTGCACACATCACCAACAGAGCCTTCTGGCTCAGCCGTGACCATCACTGTTGAGCTGCGCTGCTCTGCAGGACTTGAGCAAAATTCCTAAGAAGGCCTTATTCATGCAAAGGGTGCCTCCGTGGTTCTTTACAACTTCTCTCTGCCTTTCCCAGGCATACTGCCGAGGCACTGCTAGGTTCTAACCATAGGAGTGGCGAGCATGGAGAGAACATTCAAGACAACCATATTTTCTGTGTGTCTCAAGTCTTACTGTAGTCAAAGTCTCAAACACCAATATTAATATTATTATTACTATTTAGCATTTTAAAAAGGTTCTCTTTTACAGAATGAGCTCAGAGAAAGGGAGCTTTTCCCTGGTATTGTCCTCATTCCCAGATACCACATCCCATGTTTCTACCTTGGTTTGCAATGTTAAGGCAAGAAAAAGTGGAAAAGTCAGGCAATTTTCTGTTGGGCTTTTTTTTTTTTTTTTTTTTTTTTTTTTTTTAAAACAAGGCCAGCTGCTCTAAGGAGTTACTGACAGTTTCCATAATTGTTTTCATTTCCTAGATAAGATACCTCTGTAACTGCACTGTAGGTCTCTACCCAGGGTTGAATGGGTACAGTATTAACCTGAATTGCCTGGTTCCAGTGGCTCTTAGTTCCTCTTCAGGCATTGCCCCTGGGCCTCAATATTTTGTAAAAATATCTCCATGAGTTTTCTCCCATGTAGGAAAGACCAAGTCTATACCCTCTGAATGTAGCTGTTCTCTTGTGGATCTGGGCTGGGCAGCACTCAATCATCTCTGTTGGGCACAATTCCCATGATGCCTACAGCTGTTCTAGAAGGATGCTGCCTCATCTGTGAAGATTCATATCTGACCTTTCGAGCTTAAAAAAGCTGCCTAGCAAACTGTATTCTGTGCAATAAGACCACAAAGTCTTATTGCACAAATGGGAGGGGGAGAGGAGTTCCTGTTCACAGGAGTCCACTGAAAGTCTGAAGTAGCCCTTGTTTTACTAGAAGCCCTGGGCCACTTACTCCCCAAAGTGGAACTGTTCACTCGCCAACAGACTCAGCAAAATGCTTAGAAGTGATGGATTTGGTTCTGACCTCCATGTTAGGTTAGGCTTATTTATATTAAATTTGAATTTCTAAAGAAGAAATTTGTTACTCAAGTATTTATTTTGGTATATAGGAATTTTTGTTCTTTTGATCAATATCAAGAACAAAACTAGTAGGGGCTAGGAATTTAGCTCAGCGGCATAAACGCCTGCCTTGCAAGCAGGCAGTTGTGAGTTTGATCCCCGGTACCGATAAAAAGGAAAAAGACACACACACACACACACAAAAGAATAAAACTGGTAAACTGTATGTAAATGGAAAAGACAATAAAATCATCACCAAGAAGAACTTGAAAAGGAAACATGGAAAAGAGAATCAATAATTAAATAGTCATTGAAATACAAATTACATTTGATAGGCTTTTGGATAAGAAGACAGCATTAACAACTGTTTCACAATCAAATCAGATACGATGACAACAATCACGACCATTTGATTGGACATGACAAAGGAAAATTTCAAACACAGTTTATTCACTGAAAACTTGATAGGAGCTCCTCAGTATATTATGGGGTGGGGTCCACAAAAGACATTTGAATCAAATGAAGTACTGGTCTAGTTTGTAAGATATATTAATTTCTTCTGGTAGTAACTTTAGAAGTCATAAGTTTTCATTTTTAGGCCGTGACTTTAATGAATCAATTGTGGTTTCAAGAAGTTATTAAATTTAATTTGGTTTCAGACTCAGAAAAATGAGATCATTCATTCTGCTTTTGGTGCAATTGGGGTCAAGTCTCCTGTGTAAAACAGACTAAGATGAACTGGGATAATTTTATTTGTATGCCCTTCACTCCCCTCATCCTTCCTTCCACCTTTCCCCCAAACATCTGGGTGTCTTTTTTCTTTTGATCTCATCGAATGTTTCTGTATTACAATAATTTCTTCCTTCCCCTCACAAATTTAACTTCTCAGTTCTCTCGTTCCCAATAAGGACTACTGGAATAGTAACAGTGTCCTTTCTTATACACAACTGAGATATGGGTTAAACAAAAACTTAGGCCTTTTGTTTATGCTTTTACTTTCATTAAACTCAACATTGTATTAACACCATGCTGGCAACCAAATATGAATCCAAAATGGCAAATCTTCTAAAGGTAGCTCTATCTCCCAAAGCATACATGCCCAGAGCAAGGCTAAATTGAGTCCAAACACAAAGTGAACTGGTTAAAAATATAGAAAAGCAGTGAAGATTTTTCAAGTAACAGTTTAAGTGGATAACTGGTGACCTCAACGACAGTAAGAATAATGTAGAGAAGAACAATTTCATTTCTTTTAACATTTTAGTTTTGCAGTAAGCTGATGGTAGCATTATGTTGACTCAGAAAATTCAGTTACTTCCTAGACATGAGAAGAACATGTGCCCAGACCTCTCTTACCTGTTATGGTGGCTTTGTTGATGGATGGTTGGTTGCACATGGGTGATCTTCTAACAAAGAAAAATACAAAACAGTAAATATGAGGTGCTTATTTATCTGAGTACTCTTTGAGTCATTTTAGATATATTTTAAAAAAGACTTTAAAGGCTTTTTAAAAATAGGATTTTTTAAAAATTTTGTTTAAAAGGAAAAAGAGAAAAAACAAAACAAAACAAAGTGGTGTAAGGGTACAAGTAATACAGACTACAAAAAAAAAAAAAAAAAAAAACAGTAAGAAATCACCAGTTAATAGATCACACATTATCATCTTTGAGATAGTTGCTCAAGTCACAGTATCAAAGCATACAAAGTGGACATTCAAACAGTGAGACTGTAAACGTTGTGATCAATGATCCAACCAAAAACATTAATATGGTCATCCAGAAATAGGATTATTCTGGGGGCTGGGGATTTAGCTCAGTGGCATAAGTGCCTGCCTTGCAAGCAGGCAGTCGTGAGTTCGATCCCTGGTACCAATAAAAAAGGAAAAAGACAAAAAAAAAAAAAAAAAAAAAAAAAAGAATTACAGAAATAGGATTATTTTTAAATTAGGACTTTTTTTTTTTTTTTTTTTTTTTTTTTACTGGTACCAGGGATTGAACTCATGGCCACGTGCTTGCAAGGCAGGCACTTATGCCTGCTGAGCTAAATCCCCAGCCCCCTAAGTTAGAACTTTTAAATGAATATTTCAGACTGGCCAGTCAAGTTCCTGGTGCCTTTTTAGCATGATTTCAAATCATATGTCATGAAAAAACAACAACAACAAAAACAAAACAACTTAGTTAAAATTTCATGGTGTCAGACATTAGGGTAGATTAAACTAATGTAAATGTCACAGAGACGTAATAGAAAAAGAGAATTTTATTTATTGATTTTTTTTTCGGTTAGGGCTTCCAGAATACAGGCTTTTTCGAGTTTGAAGAAGTAGTCAATTCATATTAGTTTCTCTAATGCAGTGGTAAGAAACTTTTTTTTGGCATAAAGTCTCGTAATTGCCTATATATTATCAGAATGAATAATTCCTTAAAAATTATCTTACAGAGGAAGGATTTAAACTTTTTTTATATTTTATACTGAGAAATATCACTGATGTGTCTATCAGAGTTATGTTAACAACTTGTTTAAATAGATACGATAGAGATCTTAGAAATACTGTATTATAAGCCAAAGGTTCTTAAAGGGATTCTATTTGGAGTTCTCTATTTTTTTCAGATTTTTTTCTAAATTCTAGAAGATGATTGTAGAAACCTCAAAGTAAGAAACTATGCTACATGATTAACCTGTATTTCCTATCAAGCCTGCACAATGTTATCCATATTTGATCAGCAAATTATGTTGAAAAGAATATCATTTAGGGAAATTCCATAAAAACTTTCCAAAATGTAACTTTACAGAGATGTCACTTAAAATTGGCAGCTTTCAAATTATAGCAATCTTTAAAAACACGCTGAAATATCTGAAGTTTGTGTATCTGTATATTTTTTCTGGTGGCTAATGCTTCATGAACACTTACAATGTAACATGCAGTTTAAAAAATGATCTTGCTTAATCTTTACAGCAGCCTCAAGGCAGGTGGACTCACCATTCATTTTCAAGGGAAAAAAAATAAAATTTTGGGAAGTAGAAAGTGTGCTCTAAGTAAGAAAGCTGAGACTTGAACTAAAGTGACATGATCCTGACAATGCATTCAATGCTATTCTACCATGAGGATATTTAGGGATGCTGGGTGAAGGGTCACACATATGTGTGGATGGGACCTGGCTCTTTCAACCTGTCTCACTGAGATGACGAATGTCCTGACAGCACTCAGGAATGCTTGGGGCAGGGGCTGTCTGACTTGCAAATTCTCACTGTTTGCACTACATCTCTGACTGAATCTTTGTAAGGTATACAGGGAATATACTATGGGGTTGAAATTTGGTTTTTGATTGACAATGTATCCAGATTTACTTCTAAATTATATGTTTGTAAAAAATTAATTTGAACTTGCCAAGTGCTTTATAAGACAAAAATGTCAATTCTCTAAAATGTTGCTCTGAAATAGCTCTTTTCTATATACTAGTATACAGAAAAATATTTTTTTTTCTGCATTTTGGTTCTAAACATTTAGAAAAATATTTACTTTTGTTTTGGAAAAGTATCAAATAAGTATTTCTATACTTTTCTGTAGTTTTAGAAAAACAAATGATTACTAATTATGTACTCTTAATTATCAATCCCATAATCCTACTCAGGAATTGACATCTCAGCAAGTAACAACAAGTGGAAAATATTAGTCACTGGCTCCATGGTTACACTGATACCTCAATTAATGAATGATGAGCCAGCACTCACTTCTAGAATGAAAGAGTCCCAGGAGCGAGGGAGAACTAGGCAATAAGCACTAGTAAAGAATTAACAAAAGGGGGCTGGGGGTTTAGCTCAGCGGCATAAGCCCCTGCCTTGAAAGCAGGCAGTCGTGAGTTCGATCCCTGGTACTGATAAAAAGGAAAAGGACAAAAAAAAAAAAAAAAAAAAAAAAAAAAAAAAAAAAAAGAATTAACAAAAACCAGAAATGTCCATCAGGATATTCAGTTTGTCAGTTACCAAACAGACTGGATTAAGGGACTCCTGGAAAAGAGGCATAATCATGGAGCTGTTACACATATCAGTGGATCAAGCCACTGACGCTCATATTAAAAGGCACTGTTGGGACTCCGGGCCTTGTCCAGTCACTGGCCTTGTTCTTTTGGAAGGTGTAAATGTATTTCTCACTCGTGCTCTTCCCTTGTGCCCTGCTTCTGACCACTAAGTCAGCAGCTCTGCTTCAGCACACATTATACCATGATGTTCCTGCCTTGGGGCTGCCAATCATGGACTGAAACCTCTAAAACCATGAGCCAAAATTACCTCCAAACTCTCACTTAATTTATGGGTGACAGGTATTCTGTTCCAGAAACAGAAAACTTAATACATCATTGAGGTTTTCTTTTCTTTTTTTTAAAATATGAACATCTTTGTAGAGAATGAATCCTACTATTCTGATATGCCAGGAACTAGTCTGGTTTGAATTAGTAAAGGAGATACGTACAAATCCACACTGACTACAAGACAGATTCCACTAACCTCCACTTAGATTATAACAGGTAATACTGTTTGGTTAGATGGCACCTTGCCTATTGTACAGTTGGTCAAAGCAAATGTAAGTTCGCCTCCTAGGTGTGAATTCCTGTCCTTCTTTTTCCATTTTATTCTATTTGTTCCTATAAATAAGTTGAAAACTTCTGCCTTGTATGGAATAAACCTCAGAACAGTGTGATCAGAATCTTTACATCTTTATGATTAACTTTCTCTCTGCTACAGGTTTAGATGCTGGTACCCAGGTGACCCTATCTGAAAGAAGCTTTAAAGGGATTTAGTTTCTAATTTGCTTAAAAAGATAACTTTGATATTTTGCATGAAATTTGAGACAAAATATTGGAGAACAACAACCAACAATTTCATTTTTTGTACAGATCTGAGACTTCTTGGAGCTATTAAATGTCAAAAACCCCAAGACGCTACTAAAATCAGTATGATATTGTACAGCTGTCCACATGACATAGGAAATATGACTGGCAAAGAATGGGTTCCTCGAAGTACACCCTCAGGTTTCAAATGCTGAATTACCACTTAGCTCTTTTAGCCAACAAGCATTTGCAGAGCAATTACTATGTATTATGATAGGCACTGGGAATACACATGTGCACCAACTACAGCTCCCATTCACTGGGAATTGACATTAGACAGATCAAGAAAAAAAATAGGGGACTTAGAGAAATAACAGCAAGACAAGAGTTAAGACAGACAGGTGGCATGGGATGCAATCAGATGGAGGTGGAGCACCACATTAGCTAGTCTGGACTTGAGGGTGTGTGCCTCCATCAGGTAGTTCCAGGGACAATGTCCCTAATGCATGCCACCCAAGAATGAATTGCTGTTAGCCTGATCATTGAGGGGAAGAAAGCCATTGTGTAGGCTGAGGGGACAGAACCATGACAATGTATTCCCTGAAAAATACAACCGGGAGCTGGAGGTTCTAAGTTCATTCTATTTATTTGTATTGTGCATTTATACTTATTTTGAAAGCCATGTTCTATCAAAAAAGTACTTGCAAAAGGCCTGAACTTTCTTTAGTAATGAACTATGAATTTGAGAGGTAAATTATATTATTATGGAAAGGAAGGTTCAGATTTGTCATAATTCTTCAAGAAATACAAACACTGTGAAATTTTATACACTTGCAAAGTTAAATTTCTATTTACTCTCCTAATACTAATATAGTTTTATCTTCTGCAAAATTCTTTGATATTGATTGTTTTAATATTTTGTTACCGATAGTTTTTAAAAAATAAGGGATATTTGACTAATAACTTACTAGCTGTTCATTTAATCTTACAAATTAATTTTTAAAAAAGATTTTTGCCTTTATCATGACCTCCATATTATAATCACTTCACATCTCAGCTTTTCCACTTTCAAAGGTTTCCATAGCTAAAATATCAATTTATTAATTGTTACAATTTATTAACAGATTTATTAACTGTTCCATGAATGCTGCTGATCTGAGAAGCAGTAAAAGCAGACAATTGCTTGATGTGGGTTTTCTGCAATTAATTCTTGTTTTAGACTTAGAAAGGTGACTCTGAGGTGACTTTAAGTCTTGACAAGATTATTTGGCTGTGGTTAACTTATGAGGTAAACCAAACCTATAAAGTTACTCCGAGTGTAAGAACATAACTGGGCAAAGAGCTGACCATGCCAGCTGATTTCTGACCGATGGAATCACCATATTTATTTGTCACACTGTTTCATTTCTGGTATTGCAATGGTCACTTCAAAGTATTTATAGAAAATTAACAAGGCATCTCATGATTTAGTGTACATGGTTAGACAACATGGCAGTGATTCAGAGAAAGCTCACATTGCCTTGAGTTGTATCTGAATGGAGGAGAAACGTACATTTAAAAGTTTAAAAAGAAAGAGGAAACAAACAAACAAAAGGCACAGCTTACTTGCTTGGTGCTCGATCTTGCAAATTAGTCAATGCAGCAAAGTTATTTCGTACAGTTCGCAGGCTGGCCAGGACCTATAACAAAAATGAATTCTTTAAACTCCTTGAACTGGTGCAACTTAAATTTAATTTAAATGCAATTAAAAAGATTTTTACAGAGAAAACATGGTATGTCTTACAGTTAGTTTTATATGCTAATGAAGAATCTCTCAGCACTAAGTCAAGACTGTGTATTCATACGAAATCTATGGAGATCAGACTGAAAAGATTTTCCAGAAATCTTCCTATTTATGAGTGTATTCATAATAACAGTTCCACAGGATTTCTGAATTTTTTAGTCACCAGGACAATATCCTAGACAATATACATATGGGATGGTTGCAGATATGAGATAGTATAATGTAAGTAATAAAAAATTAAAATTGGAAAACAGAGAACTCCCATAATCACTCCCAAAATTAAAATAACTCCCAAGTTGTCTTCAAAAATTCGCCAAGAGTTCAATAATTTCAAGTCAAAAAGCTATATAAATCTTAAATGGTATTTTTCACCTTTGCCACATGGCTTCTCAAGCTAGTTCATGGGTGTTCTTTGCCTTTGTCAGTCAGGGTTACTGAACTGTTATAAACAGTTGTCAGGGTATTACTTCCTATATAAAATGCTACTGCTTTGTGCCAACAGAAGATACTCAGTAAAGCTTTTTTTCAATAAGTGAATACATGGATACAATACATTTATCCACATGTGTGACAAGGCAGGACAAGTGGATTCTACCACCTCTGACAGCATTTAAAAATTCCATTTGGACCTGCAAAGTGCACACTGAAGGAACATAAGACTGAGAGCAAAGTGACAAGAACCTGCAGCCCCTCACTTCCTCCTAGAATGGCCACATTTCCCCAAAACAGAACTCATATTGGTTGGGACTCCAAGTGATCTTAGTACCAAATGATACTCTCAGTTTATTCAAGGCATAGAAATCAAATGTCCTGGTAGGTACCATGTAACAAGTCAGACTGCCCAGCTCTGTTAATATATTAAATGTATAAAATTCAACATCTTACAGAAACTGTGTACCTCAGTTTCCTTGCATGTGACCCTGGAGTGATACCTACGTCACAGGACTATTAGGAGGGTTATATGAAACGGCAGGCTAGGCGCCAAGAGCACTGCCTGGTATGCAAGAAGCACTGGATAACTGCAGGCCCATGATGGCACCGTTCATTTGGTTAGCGATCTGGCAAACACATGCAGAATCCACTTACTGTCCATCAGTGGTAAACCAAGCCGACTCCCAAATTTCTAATTGCTCCAAGGGTCCTGGAACTGTTTTCAAAGGTTTGTTTGTTTGTTTGTTTGTTTGTTGTTGTCGTCTTTTTTTTTTTTTTTGGTGTTTTTCCTTTTTACCAGTACCGAGGACTGAACTCATGACTGCCTGCTTGCAAGGCAGGCGCCTATGCCACTGAGCTAAATCCTCAGCCCCTTTCAAAGTGTTTTAACTAACACAGATCTAGACTACAGGTGTGTGTGTGTGTGTGTGTGTGTGTGTGTGTGTGTGTGTTTCTTTTTTTTTAAGATGAAAATTTCACTTTTTTGTGGGGGGTTGATACTAATCCAAGCAAGTCAAAGGGAGCAGTTTATTCTTTGCAATAGTGACCTACAACATTTCCCTGCAGAAGTAGATGATGCTTCTTCAAGAGCCAACCATGATTAGCTCAGTCACTGGAAAAACCTGGCTCATTATCACATAGAGACAACTCACACTCTGAAAGGTCATGCTGCCTATGATGGAATAGAGGATTCCAATGGCTAACAGCTGACTTCAGACCATCGTGTCTTCTAAGAGGCATGAAATCTTGAATGATGCGGAAACAAATTGAATAAATGACCCACTGTCATGAAATCACTCGGGCTTAATTTATCATGTAAGAAGTGAATATCAAACACACTAATAAAGCATTCTAAATAAGATTATAGTGGCAGCTAATTTATCCCTTATCTAGGCAAAAATTCTAGTCTTAGAATTCTGAGAATTTTATTATTATACATGGTTTTTAAGTTCATTACAATTGATGGTGAAAATAAGTAATATTACATGTAATTCATGTTCTACACTCATTTGAAAGGAAATTAATTCCTATAAAAAAGTTTTCTGAAAGAAATATTTTCCATAGAACAATTTTCCTTTACTATAGTAATGAAAATACTGGATTATTTTGTTTTGATTTTAATGTAATTTTATGGATGTATTTTTAAATAATTCATGTCCCAGCATTCTGTAGAATTTAAACAGAAAAGAGAGCTATTAAGCAAAATCTCTACCTTGATAAAAGACAAAATCAAAATGTTATTTCTGAGAAGAGGCAAACTGATAGAATTGGAGGAAAACACACAGCATTAAAATCTGCTCTACTTTTAAAATTCTTCATTATAGTATTATCATGTTTATTTATATAGTCCCTAGATATTTTCTTTTATATGCATGAAATATTTTCAAATGAAAAGTGAAAAGAGAAAATCTCTCTCCTGTCCTTCCTTCAGGCATTCAGCTACTGTCAGCAGTCACCTGCCTTTCAGGCTGGCCCTTAAAGTATGCTTTTACAAACACTGCTGCAGTAAGTAAACTTGAAGATGCATCATTCCTTAGTTATGCACCGTTTTTGTAGTACAAAAACAGTGTTTTATAAATTTTAGATTAAGTGCTAATGATTACCCTCTGCACTATGACAAATTTGATACTTGCACAAGTGTATTTTTCTTTTCTTTCTTTTTTTTTGTTGGTACAGAAATTGAATTCAGGACCTGTGCTTGCCAGGAAGGTACTTGTGCCACTGATCTATATTCCCAGCCTGCAGAAATATTAAGAGCATTTTCAGACTCATCGTTTAAGGGGTATTAACCTGGACCTGCCTGATTGAATTTTTTTAAACAACAAATATTATTGTGTTTGCTTTTTAAGGGCTCTCTTGCATTTGCAAGGCACAAAGGACAGGGAACTGTTGCTTTAGGAGTTGAGGAGAAATGGAAACTTTTACTGGCACCCCATGAGTTAAGGCTGGATTTCTCTTTGCTTTTGTTTCAGGGTGGCTCTCACTCCCCTAAATTAATCAGCTCTCTAAGGGGTGGAGTTAGAGCTTTATTGCTAATTTTTCTTCCTTGTTGATCAAAGAGGTACTTGAGATTTCTTCCACATAGTCCAGTGGTAGAAATTGAGGACATGTCTTTCTCTTTTATACCTCCAAGTAAAAATGTGATTGGCCAAAGTAAAAAAAAAAGTTCCAAATGAAGAAATGATGAAATACGTCTATCTAACTATGTATCTATGTATCTATGTATCCATCTATCTATCTATCTATCTATCTATCTATCTATCTATCTATCTATCTATCTATCTATCTATCTACTTTAGGGAAGAAATCCTGATGGCGAAACACAAAGGTTTTGGACAGAGATGGCTCACATATTAGTCTGTGGGGCAGGGACATTATTTACACACACAACTCTCAGATTTTTTAGGTGTTTTAAAATTTATTAGGCAACAGAATTCGCTGTAATCAGGAGAAAAATGTGGGCTTCATTGAAAAGTTAAATATTAACTGAACATAATAGCCTAGTGAGAAACAGTTTTATTTGTTTCAGCCATATGCACTTTGTGCCACTAGGTGGGGGTAAAACACAGACCATGAGATGCAGGGATGGGCAGTGGAGAGTGGTTAAAGTGAGGTGAGAGTTCCTTACCTGGGTTATACTGAAGTTAGCATCATTTATAAGACAAAAAGTTCATTTTGATTGGAAAAACCAACATCTTCCCATATGAAATTGGTCTTACATGTCAAAAATCTATTGAAAATTTCATCTTATTTAATTTACTATGAATTCAGACATCTACGAGGATGCAAGTTGTAATTTATATCAGTGAAGGGTAAAGAACAGCTCCAGCAGCCTCCTGCACCACCCCCCCAAGCACTGAAATGGGATTTTTACTACTGCCTAACAGAGAGCGCCTGATGGTTATCAGATCTGGGGATTCTGAAGAGGCCATAGGATTCCTGCTGCTGGGTGAAATTAAGACATGCAGGACGTTTTAAAAATGCTGGTAATGTCCTATTGCTAACAGAGTAGTAATGTTCAGTGGCATTAATAACCACCACATTTTTCCCCCTAAAAGTATTTCATGCTGTAATTTGGTGAAAGGAAAATTTATGCAGTTGTTCACACCTTCTATTTTCAAATCTCTTTAATCTGAATGATGTAAGGGTCTCCCCAGGGATCCAGAATATTCTGGTGGGCTTTTCCTTTTTCTTCATTAAAGACTCCATTTCTTTTAACACTATATACTTCCAGATGAGAACTCTAGTTGACTTAGAGAGTTTTACAAGGGAGCCACAGTCATAAATAATGTGACTAGGACTAGAGGCAGCTGACTACAGAGAAGGGGGTCTGAAGTTTGAGCAGTACTGTGCATCTTTGGTGCTCTTTGGACCCAAAGTGTTATTATAGTCATGGGAAGGACAAAAACAATGACACTGGCATGGCGTAGTTCCTCTCTACACTCAACCCAGCCTTGGAGACTAAGGAGATGTTCGCAACAAAAGATTTCACCACAAACATCAGAGAATAGTTCTAAATTCAAATATACAAATTGCAGCTGACATTTTTTTATTTTTTCTGGGCATCACGGAAATTGTGATTCTCATGTAGAGGAAAGCACAGAAAATGGATGATAGAAAAGAGTTTAGGTTAAAAGCTAGCAGGAAATTTTAACTCTGATGGTGTTCGTGATATTAGAATAAAACATGGATGGATATTAGAAGATCTTTTCTGAAACTCATCTATCTAAGAAGTTTTAGATTTCAGCCATGGAAAGCAAAGTGGGATATATCTTTGCATGATATCCTAAATTCTATTTTATTCTCTGTGATTCACAGGAAAGCATGATTTGGAAGATACTTTCACGTTTTAGAGGTGTACTAAAGGGAGGGGAAGGGAAGGGAAGGGAAGGGAAGGGAAGGGAAGGGAAGGGAAGGGAAGGGAAGGGAAAGGAAATGGATTCTGAGGAGGAAGATGATGGTGATACTGGGATTGGAAGAAAATCTTTTACTACTTTAGACAGTGTATGGTTATTTTAGAAGTCATAAGAGAGAATAATGCGTGGAAAAATAAGCCTAATAGGAAGAAAGTAAATGTAACAGTAGCTAATTTGGGGGCTTGGAATTCTGTGAAATTTTCTTCCTTCTGCTTATATTTATTTTTCTAAACATTTTATGCAACAGTATTTTCTTTTGAAAGCATTATGGCTTTCTTACCAACACTTCTGTGAATTTCTGAAGCCTAAAGCATGGTTGGAAAACGGTTTAGTTCTTTGGTCTATTTGGTAAACTTTTCTCCTAAGTGAACCAGCTAAAATCAGTAGTTTTTTGTACACTGACAAAAGTAATTTTTGTATACTAGATTGAGTAGTGTTGGTATTCAAGTTACACATTATGCTTTTAGTATTGTAATATTTAGAATTAAGCAGTAAGTGCTCTATCTTGTATAACCAAAAAAATTAGGAGTTGATAGTTAGATCCCAAATGGGCTTAAGCAAAAGCCACAGATGAATTGATGTTAATTGGGTCTCTGGTCACCTACTTCCCCAAGCATTCTCTATTGGTGCTGAAACTTCCGGATTTATCAGTGATTTTTTTTTTTCATATTCCAGTAGAACTTTCCAAATTTTACATGCAAGTGAAAGCCAACTGGTGAAAACTGTGATGAATTAACTTTAAAAAATCTGCATCCTCTGGGGCAATGACTACTGGACCTTCTCCCAGGGGAATGAGACACTTAACTAATCAGAAGCGAAGTTTTCTGTGACTCCTAATATTATTTTCAGCCATCAGATATGTCTACACATTGCATGGAGTTGGTTTGTACTCAAAAGTTCCAACTTCAAGGATATTACATTTATTTTTAAATTAAAGAGCTTATTAACATTATATATATTTATGCAAACTTATCAGTATACTAAAGTCTAATTAGTTTTTGGAAATTATAGGTAAATTAGAGAATTGTTTAATCATGCAAATGACTCAATTTCTTTAGAATTTAAGAGCACTGATGGTAGAGACCAAGCTGAATTTATTAACCTATTTCTTAGTGAAGTAAAAATGACTTGAAGTCAGAAGTCAAGGTATCACATAGAGAAGTTTTCCAGTTTTTATTATACATTCATTTTTTATAGCATGTTAAGATTTTAGAAATAAAAAGTATCTGTCTGAATAAACTCAGATTAGAATGACTGGTTCTACTTACTATGATGATTATTAATATTATTTGTCTTAATTTTTTCTTTCCATATCACTATCCACTCTTAGGAAACTAAATTCTCAAGAGTAATCAATTAAAAATATTTAGTTTTATAACTTTTGCTATCATAAAATCTGATTAAAACAGGTACTCTTTTGGACATCAAGACAGAGGAAATCATGATCTCTAGCAAATCTTAAGCAGTCAGGATAGTAATCATCTGAAAGGATGATGAGCATATTGTATTTTTAGTTGGCTGCCTTAATTTAGAAAATCACTATTAACATTACATTGCCTATTGATTGATTACAATTTTGGTCTTTATTTAAAAAATTTTAAAACTGGATGAAATGTACATCATCTTACTATCCAAATACTGCCATTATTTATTTTAAGAATAATATTTATGATGACATTTTAGAGACAAAATCTATATGATTAAACCAGCAATAATTAAAATTAATTAAATATATTTTATAGCAACTATTCTGAGCATTTGTAAGCTGGTATTATTTCACCTTTGTAACAATGTTATGCATCAGCTAATAGATACTTTGCTTAATAGAAGAGGAAACTGGATTTGCAAAAATTCAGTGACATTAAAAGCCATGAGTTTCCCAAGGTGCTATGTCTAATTGTGACATAATTCTAATTATAATTCTTGTAACTTCTCAGGATTATTTATATTTCAATATTTAGCTTTTTTTTTGTATCAGAAATCGAACTCAGGACCTTGCACTTGCCAGGCAGGCGTCTGCACTGCTTGAGTTATAGCCATGGTCCAATATTTAGTATTTTTAAATCAATAAATGTTGACTTTAAGACTGCATTGTTACTTAGGTTAAATTGGGTTTACTCTATTCTGTACCTGGTTGTTTATACCAGGGCCTTTCAACTTGTACACTACACACAATGGAAAAGTACTGAGACCTTTGAAAAACATGGATGCTTGGAACTGACCTGCAAATTTTGGTTTAATTGATCAGGTAAAGTCTTGACCCTGTGATAGGAGCACTGGCGGTGAATCTTATGTGTAGGTAGAGTTAAATGCACACTAATCTATACCAAGAACATCTAGTCATTCATACTTTTATATATGTTCCAAAACCTTTTATGTCATTTGATCACATTTTTGCTTCTATTTCATGTGATTAAAATATTTTGATGGTATGTAGGCCTAAAAGGAATAAGTGTAAACATACCACTTAGCTAAATCTTTGCACAAATAATGCATGTACAAAGGAGTAAATAAGGTAACAGGATGAACTGGATTATTGAATTTCAAGCACTGATCGAGTACCTAATTAAGTGTAATTTAATCCATGATATAGCCTTCTGCCTCTTATGTTTATGTCAGTTAAGGAAATTTGGACCCATTTAATTCCTGTATCTCAGAGGTAACTTGCCATTTGAAGTAAAGACACATTTTGGGTCTTTAAGGATCTAGAAAACAAGTCCATAAAGGTCAAAATCACATTCTGTAGCACTGCTTTGCATTGCTAGATGAACTGTGTAATTCATATTTTTATTTGCATTTGACTTGAAATTAAATTAAGTACTAGAACAAATCCCCAAGTTAAATTTCCCTATCTGAGAAGCCTGCCCACTTGCCAATCTGTGCTTACCTGAGCAAATGGAGTCACAATCAAGTCATCTCCATGTCTGAAAAAGAAAACAAATCCTGTATTAGAAGTCACCAACCACTCTGCAAACCCTTGTGATCAATATTAAATGGCAAGTTCCACTTTCAGAAATCCCCAGAGAATTACAGTAGTTCCATCCTTATTCTTCTGCATAAGTCCTTCCCAGTCACTGGGTTAAAAACATGTCTTCAAGGATGTAAGCCATTGTCCAGCTCCCTGAGTAATGACAGAAGGAATCTCCTCAATCATCCACCAATGTCACTGTTGCTTTTTAGGCACACGGGACATGCATTTGCAGAAACAGAGTTCCAGGACTGGGGCCTGAGTTTCACTCTTGGCCTTGAATTGTAGGTATTAGCAAGGGGTGCGACTGGCTTCTGTGAAGGACCCTGGGCCACCTAACACTTGATCAGTGTCAAGTGTTCCACACCATCATGTGTAAGTCTCTTACGCAGACCAGGAACTGTAGAGGACATGGGACTGCATCAGACACTAATAAAAACGCCGTGAAATTTTCAACTGACTCATGTCCTAGCCACTGTAATTACCCTGGAAATGTTACCCTGTGGTTACGGAGAAATGTTACCCTGGGTGTGCTGTTGCTAAAGCAATCTCTACCCCATGCCTGGTATACAGGAGCAAGGTGTCAGCATGACGTGCCTTGAAGGTACAGGGAAAGGCAAGAATAGCTGTACAGCATTCTACTTGGAGGAACACGAGAAACCATGACCCTCATGTTCAGTGCACCTGAATTGTCTGCTCAGTTGCAAACATCTGGAAAGGATCCAAGTGGCCTTAGACGACACTCAGGAAACACTCAGTAGCACAATGGAATGCAGACAACGTTCAAATTAGATCACTGCTCATAACGAGAGTTATTATGGGGGCCATCAGATCATATAGAGAAAGAGTAGATAAAAGTGTAAATGTACACTTCAAAAGAAGCAGATATCATTCTACAATCCATTAGTTTCAGATTTATATTTGCCAAGGGACATCTGTCATTTGTCATACTTATAGAATTCTAGATTAGAAAAGTTGGACATCAGGTTTTCTACATATTTTATAGAGGAAGAGGTCGAGGTTCAGAAAGGGTATGAAAGCTAATACATGGCAGAGCTGGGGTATCAATAAAAAGATCTCTGTTGAGGGCAAACCCAGCAAAATGGCCCACAGTAACGGGGACTAGCTGTTGAAGTGATAAGGAAATCAATGCACCAGAGGGAGCAACCTAAAGGAGATACATTTGAGGAAGCAGAATGACCTGAGTAGGAATGACTGTGCATCAGAACAGCTACCATGAGTAGCCTAAAGGTTCTAGAAAATGCATAGCAGGAAATGCAAGGGAGGAGCCAGGAAGCAGTTCATAGAGCCCTTGTGAACATGTGAAAGAAATGGGTTTTACTCTGATTAAAGCTTGAGTTGCAATTCCAGCCCTGTCACATTCAGTGTATAAATTGTGCAAGTTATTAAACTTCTCATTCTCTTGATCTCCTCATCTGTCAATAAAGTATACACAGAGTGTTGGTTTGGGATTAATAATGTGAAGTACAGAGCATACTTAGCATACAATTAATGTTCAATAAATATTAGCTATAGAAAAAATTAGTAATGGTAAGGATTTCTATATCCCAATGCCTTTTGCTTTCCTACGCAGTTAGGAAATTGCAAAGAGAATTAATATTTAGTTCAGAAGATCCCTTGACACTTTGTGACAGATCTGTAAGGAACTAGGGCTTTGAAGGGATAACATGGAAGCTAGGGAAAACATTTTTTGAGGACAGAGTTGGGACATTAAACTAAATCAGTCTAACTGAGACAGGAAAGGTGCCAACATTACAGGTTCTTTAAAACAATTATGAAAAATGCAATCATACACAAGAGCAACAAGAATGCTATGGTGTGTATTTAAGTAAAGTATCACTGCTCTCTACAAAAATGCTTCAGTGTAGGTGGTATTATTCCCATTTTACAGATAAGAAAATTGAAGCCCACTGGGTTAAGAGTCTCAAAGCCTCACAGTTCGTTTACTGCCATATCTGGCATGCCACTAACCTCTTATGATTTCACTGTCTGCTCCTACAAAACAATCCCTTTCAGTTTCTGGAAAGCATGAATACAAAAATGCAGAAACTCTCAAGCTTTTTAATAACTTTTCACACACACATATACACACATGTACATATACACCATTATTTAAGAGTTCATTTGGAGGCAAACATTCTTGTAATCAATGAATAGATCAGTAAAACTGAGCAGTGTTTGCTCTGGGTTAGAAGTTTAAAAACCAAAGACAATTTCAATAGATTTATATACTAATCGTCAACATACTTCAGTGGTGCCAAAATGTAACATGTCATTTAAAAATCATTATTCTGAGATGGCAGTTATGTTATAAGAGAAAAGATTGGCCATATACTGTATCTACTTGATTTTGAGGAGCAAATAAGCTGTTGTGGACAGGGCTGAGTGTCAGCTTGATGGGCTAGGGAAGAAAATAAATCATATGAGCATGTCATTTAAGTATGTCATATAGTTTGTATATCAGAATTGAAAAACATCTGGTGGTGTAGATAAATAGAAGATTTTGTTATTATATACAAAATTTGGCTTAAAGAAATTGTGAGTTTATTCTTTTATTATCTTTTTATTTTTATTTTTTTGAGGTGAAGTCTTTCTATGCTGCCAAGGCTGGCACTGAACTCCTAGGAGTAAGAAATCCGTCAGCCCCAGCTTCCTAAGGACTGGGGATTTAGCTCAGCAGCATAAGCACCTGCCTTGCAAGCATGCAGTTGTGAGTTTGATCCCCTGTACAAAAAAAAAAAAAAAAATAAAAAAATAAAAAAATAAAAAAAATTCTGAAAACTGCATTGAACCATTTTTTTAAAGAATTAAATTTTAAAAGCACAGTACCTTAGCCAACTGAGTGGTTAGAGCGGTTTACAATATCACACAATTAATTAAAGCTCTTAAGATGGGAAGAGGCTGTTAGTGTACTTTATGGTTGACTGAAAAGCTAGATTCACAGTTGCTCAGTTTTGGCTGGAGACTTGAAACTGGACTCCCTGGTTACATGAATTTTGGGAGATAATTGTTTAATCATGTGCTTCTTTAAAATACATAACAGCAAACTTTAATAGCATCTGGGATCTCTTTCAAGGAGAAAAACAGCCTTTATGCTTTAGAAGCACAGTACTGGTGGGGCACAGGTGGGGAGACAGTGGGGATGGGGAAGCTCAGGAAAAAGCTTACTTTGCCACTATATGTGTGTGTACACACGTGTGGGGGACGAGGAGACAGGTGCCCAAATAACAGTCCCAGCAACGCACACAAGCAGAAACTCTAGGAACAGACAGGATGAGGCACTGCAGGCCACTGTGGGAAGTAGTGTCACACTGGTTTTGAGTCAGGATGTAGAAGGAGGTGCTTCCTGTCAGACAGTTGCCTAGTTACCATGTGCTGCCCAGACTTCAGGCCTAGGAAGTTCACCCCTTCTCTCTCCCAAACTGCAGGTCTTGCTGGGCTCTAAGCCAGGGCCACTGGGGGCAGGAAACTCAGGCCCCATAGTACACTGTGAATTTTTCTGTTTTTCAGTAGGAAGACAAAGGGATGACAATAGAGTTAAGATTGCCTATTCTCTAGGATTTTGTTGTTCTGCCCCTATTTCTGTGTTTCTTACTCTTTTTCACTTTATTTTCTCTGAAATGAGAAGTCAGAAACATAGACAAGAAACTGAAAGAGGAATCTCAACACAATCCTTCTTACAGAGATCTTGGTGAGATACCTAAACTATTCACGTAGAGTACTTGAAGCAAATTTCATCTATAAAACTACCAATGGCACATTAGATTATAATTCCAGAACAAAGTTAGATTGTGAAACTGTGAAACATCGTCTTTGTTGGTTTCAGCAGTAGGAGCAGTTTGTAATGTTACCATTATTCATTATTTTTTTAAAACAGTATTTTTGATAAGTCCTTATCATCATGTTTTGAAACCCTTTATCAGTCATTTTTTTTGTTGTTATTGTTCTTGTTGTCATTTTGCTTTTGTTGGGTTTTTTTTTGACTATTTGCTTCTTGATTTGTCTGTTTTTCTCTTTTAAAAAAGCCAAAAAAGTCACATAATAAAAACAAGATTTTATTATAATTCTTTTAAAAATCCAGATTACAGATATCCCATGAAATGATAAACACTACAATGGTGATAATCATGAGTAATAATAATTATCATAAGCAATAAGGTAACTAATATTTAAATTATTGTAAACAATATGGTAACTAATATTTATTAAATTATTACAATGTGCCGAGCACTGTACAAATACTTTACAATGATTATCTCTTATTAAATTATTTTGCAGAGGAAAGGGAAGCCCAAAAAGATCACCAAATCACAGGCCCATGAAGTTATGCAGCCAGGATTCAGACTCAGGCGTATGCCAGGGTTCTGCACTTAAATACTAAAAAATTCTCCAACTAGAACACACTGATTCATGCCAAAGCAGTGCTTACTCATTAGTATATTTTTTACTTCATGAAATACTTAAAGACAATAAATAGAAATTATACACAAATGCAAAAATAGCAAAAGAGCAAAATCAACAAAATCAAAACAATAAAACATATTGCCAAAAATCTTACAAAATAAGCTTGTACACTTCTTGATTTTCATGTCCTATAATCCTAAAAAATCATAAAAAATAAAATAAAATTTGGTTTTTTAAAATCATGTATATTATTCTGGCCAAAAATTAAGTAACATTTTTCCATAACAAGAGTATATATATATATATATATATATATATATATATATATATCATATGTAACAAAGACATATGAGGATAGCATATTTGTATATAAACATTTATATGTAAATATGTGTGTTTGTAAAATCTGAAGAAAATGTTGTGTGCTTGCAATCTTTAAACAGAAACATTTTGGTTTCCTGCCTTCTGTTTGTAGATGAGGGAGGACACTGCAACTGGTGGGAAACTACCATTTTTACTGATATTAAAAGA